GTTGTGTCACGCGACCAAACGTCGGGGCGCAACGTCGGCACAACCTCGTGCCAACCCTAGTCTGCACTAGTTTGGAGAATAATTTTTGGGTCGAAACGACGTTGGATACCGACGTTGGCTAGAAGCCTAATTTAGTACAAACTGCAACGTTGTTTAAAATCCTAATTCACAGAAATACAAAACTAATATGGCGTCTAAGTCGCGTTTTATCCTAAATTGGGATAATTATAGTAAAAATGTTACTTTTATGATTTAGTTAGAGACATATGTCAAATGGCAGTGAAGGAAAACAAAACAAAAGTATTTAAGTGTGGAGGATGTTTGAAGATCATAATTATTGAAACACTTTAACCGACTCTGTAACTCGTTACCCAAGGCAAAAAAAGTTAAACGCAAATAACTTTATTGATAAATGTATTGTTTCTACTTTGAAAAATACTAATGGGCCTTAAAATTAAAGAAGTTTTAAAAAATTTTCTTGAATTTTTTTTTAGTAAAATGAGAATAATTTATTCGCAGTCGAAAAAATTGTTTCCGCGTGTTTTTAGGGTCAAATATTTCAAGTTAATGTATTCAAAAGTAGGAATTGCTATTTTAGGAACGAAACATTTTCTTATTTAACAACATGGCGGCTTTCACTTTGTTGTTTTGGGGATTAAGATGGAGTAGTTCGAGTAGTCGCATACTGGACTAATAAAGTCGCAGTTCGGCCTTAACAGGTAGTATACTAGTCGCAAGATTGCCTAATTTAGTCATCCTAGAGTCTAGCTTGTGCCGCCCTCTATAATATAAATAAACGAGGGAGTGGATAAACTATCGGTAATATATGTCGATGTATATTTAAATTTAGTTTTATATGTACCTTTCTTATGTCCCATTTTAATTAAGTTTTTTTTATAAAAACAAAAACAGCACTGAACTGTCTGACTGAACAGAACAATGAAGTGAAAATTTAAAATTTAAGGTTATGGTTCAATACAGTTGCAAAAAGGTAGTGACTCGACGTCCTACCAACGTAAGAATAAGGAAATCTAAACAACGTTGTAATTAGTAAAACAGACGACGTTTGCATAACGTTGGAATAGGTCCTGAAACTGACGTCGGAAAACTCTATATTGTCCAACGTTGTAACTACGTTGTCCGAATCACCTAAAGATCACTTAAGCAAAAAAGGTTACAAGACAACGTTTATTCGACGTCGCAGAAGCTTCCTACTTTGCTGTAGTACTAGTCCAACGTCGGCACAACGTTATAAAAACGTTTAAATTTATTTTAATACCCAAGGTAGGGAGCTAACTATTTTTTGTAACTAATCCAACGTTGTGATTAGTAAACATATGGTCGCAAGTCGTGAAAATGCTACTTGGGTATGCCTTACAGCGAGCCATAGAGCTTAAAAATTGGAAAAACAAGAAAAAAATGAACTTAATTAGGCATTTTCAGTTGAAAATTCCAAACCAAAACGTAAAATCGAATTAAAACATCGAAATAAGCCGTAAAATTAATTAGGCCAGTTGCAGAAACAAGCGTCTGGAGTAAATTCCACGGTTTCGCTCAGCTTCTAAAAGGTTTTTCCCCGACCTGAGCTTTTAAGCGGCTGCACCGCGGGAGCTGGGGGGTCAAAAACGTCCTTTTCATCGCACAAAGTGGAGGAATTAAAAAAGTCGCCTCTCCCTGCTCCCACAGGAAGCGACCATCGCTCTTTTATTACGCGTATAATTAAAAATTTTCATATTTTATGAAGTCTGCTAGTCGAGAAATGAGGATAGAGAGAGAAATTTTCACTCTCTGTAAGCTGGAGTTTGTTTGGTTGATCTTGGAGGAAGATTAAAACGTTCGGTATAATAAGAGAGTGTATAAAATTGACAGTTTGGTACACTAGTTATTTTAAAAATTAATTTACGCGTATAATTATTTTTTTATATTTTTTTTAATTTTTTTTTATTTTATATAGTTTTTTTTATTTTTTACAAGATTTTTAGATTCAATAGACACATATTAGTTATTAGCTTAGTTATTTCCTTCAACATTTGTGAGTAGCTCTTGGTTTAACGATTTCTTCATCATTTCTACACTCCTCGGCATAACCGTATATAATTTCACACTACCTGTTGACAACTTTTTCAATAATAAAAAGACTGTTTTAATCCAATCAACCATAAATATAGTTCATATCAAATAAACTTTCGTCACGTGATTAAGCTAGACCGGCACAGCGTTGTCTACTTTTACATATTTTCTTTTAATCAAAATATTTTAGGAAATAAAAATAAATTAATTAAAAATATATAAACAGTTATTATTTACATCAGCAAAACTCACTTTCTTAACAGCGCTTAAAGGACATAAAGGGCCATTACTACCGTTTTCCGTTCAAAATATTCTAATAAAGTTGCGATGAGTTTTTACGGCTATTAAGCTATCTTGTATAAGAACAATGTTCGACTGCAAGGTCAGCTAGTAAGAAAAATTTGGAATTACTTGGATTTCTTTTTAGTTTTTTACTCGGTTTTTAATTAAAAAATAAAATTTCTTTCATTTCTTTTTAAATTCTTCGTAATATTGCAAAACAGGTACTAGATTAAATTTACAAGGAAGAAAACCCAGTGGTTCTCAAAATTTAACCAAAAAATATATTTTTTTTAAATGTTCAAAGTAAAATATCTCAGTTATTTTGGACTTATCTGAATAAAAACGGTGAAGAGAAAAAATGTTTCTTTTATCGATATCTCCCAGCCCTGAATATATTTGCATTTATTTAAGACTCGCCCTGTATATGTAAACAGTATTTATCAAATTCGTGTTAACTTCACTGGTACTTCATTCTTATCAGCCGCAAACTAAATAATTTTATGATTTTATTGATACTGCCAAATATTTACCCACACACTTATAATAAATGTCATAAAATACTAAAACCTGTAAGGAAAATCTAAATTTTTCAATTTAAATTTGTTAAAAATAATTTTATATAATTAATTATATATTTCAAATACACTTATTGCCTCACTTTAAGACAAAACATATTATATTTCGATATTTTGGATACCTAATATAGGTACATATTTTGAAAATAGGTGAAAAATATAATTAAATTTTTTCAAAAATCTCAAAATGCATTAAAAGTTCTATTTAATATTCCTGAATAGCATCCCATGTTTTAAATTGAAATTTAAGTTTACTTCTTTGACTAAATATTTCACTTTACTTTTCATAAAAGCTGAGGAAACTAATTCCCGGAAAGAAAATTCTATTAATAAAAATCGTAATAAAAATTGATATTCAATATTTCTATATTTTTTAGTAATTTTCGAATAATTCCAAAATTATTATTGAAAAAAAAATAATAGACAGTTGTAGAAGATGAAAATTAATTGTTTATATAAATCGTATCGCCGATATTTATGATTTTAGTCTAATTATATCTAATTGAACTCAGATATTTTCATAGACTTTACATTTAACCAGTTTGATTTAAGATTATTTCATATTTCGGTATTTTCATTATTTTTGAATATCAGGAACTATTTATTTTCCTCTAAAGTAAATATAACCGTATAGATAACATTTCTTGATTTCCGAATTGCATATAAGTAATTACTTAAACTTGTTCAACATTATTTAATACACACTTAAAACTGATGTCTTTGAAAAAATCCGCATAGAAACCTATCTTGAAAAGTGAATAGGTACATAAATATAAATAAAGCTTAAGATAGTTGTAGAAGTTTCAGCAAATTTCATTTTAAATAACATTTTTACTAATCCAGTGGTTTTAAAAATTTAAGCAAACATTTTTTTTTATTTTCAAAATAAAATAACTGGGTTATTTTGGACTGAATTTGAAAATCGGCAGAGAAAATAGAAGAGAAAATATATTTCTCTTATCAAAATCTACCAACCCTGATATATTTTACTTAAAAAATATTTTTGGCTTAAATTTTGAGAACCACTGGATATTTACTGAGTTTTCTTTCTTGTAAATTTAATCCACTACCTATGTTGCCAGTTGCCATATTATGAAGATTTATATTTTATTATGTTTTTTAACTAAAAATTTAAAAAATTACCAAAATTTCTTCAAAGAAATTTTTTCTACTTGTTTAGACTAGAAGCACTAAAAAGTTTTTTTATAATTTCATGGAAATTGCCAAGAAAAATATCAAATTTTCAACAATTTTTTTTGCAAAAAACCTCATAGACCTGTTTCTGTGGGGTCGAAATATATACTACCCCTAAAAATATTTGCACGTATTGAAGACTCACCCTGTATAATTAAGCAATTATTTTTTACAAATCTGAAATTGAAAAATTTAGATGTTCGCTTTACGGGTTTTATTATTTTATGACATTTATGATAAGTACGTGGGTAAATATTTAAGACTCACCCCGTATAACTATATTGGTATAAAATTAAAAATAATTCAAAAATCCCTAGTTTTTTATATCCTTAAGCTAATTTCACAATTGTTTTTATTGATTATAATTTCTTTCAAATTAAAGAACCCTCGAAGGAACCCTAAAATATAGTTAAAGCTGTTAAACAAAAACATATAAACTTAATATTGAATAACGTTTATGCGAATAATTATATAAATTAGCCAAGAATGTTATTGAAGTTATAGTGCAGTCTAAGAGTAGTGATGGACAAATGCAAGACCAAGACTTTCTTGGTCTTGCTCTTGTACGTTCCATCCATAGACTTGTTCCATCTTGCTGCAAGACTTTATGCGAATCTTGTATTTTTTTAAATAAGTGCAGTGTAATTATTGTTAAAACAATAATAATAATTTAAAGCTACTATGAAAAATACACTAAAATATAGAATTTTCAACAGATATTAAACTTTCTATATTTGCTGAAAATTTGCTGTGAGCAGCAAAATAATATGTAACCAAAGTTACTACTACAAAGAAATAGTTTTATTTGGATATTATTCTAAAAAAAGAGTTCTTTTATTTATCCTCAAAACTATAACATTAAAAAAATAAAGCACTCACCTAATAAGCAAAAAGTTTAAATCGTATCCAAACACTCAAAAGACCCAAACAAACTTTCGTCAAACTATCCAACACTATATAAACTGGAATTCTCAAAACCCACTCACTAACAAACACTGAAGATCCACCGATACGACAAAAAAAAACGAAATTTCCAAAATTCGACAGCGGCAAATGTGGCGGTCGTGTTATGGATAGCGACGCGAAAGCACGTTAAGCGCGGTTCAGACGGGCGAGCGGCACAAGCTCCGCGTACGAAAGGCGCGCGCGAACTGAAAAGCGCGCCGCGTCGCGCGCCATTCCAGCGGAAAGCTCTTCGCTCGCTAGTCGGGGGAAAAACAGGGTAAAAGGGCGGGCGCATCGCGATATCCGAGTGATTTTAATGGTCAGAAACGTTGTAGAATGTCGTATGAAAGAAAAATTATTTTCGGACATTCGATGAACTTACATATAGCCAACATCGATGTTTTTTATAAACCTAGATCCCAGATCATACCCTGCTTGTAAGCGAAACTTTGGGTCGGCGCACAGTGGGGTATTTGACACCGATAGTTGATCGAATTTTTTTTATGTACACCTTATATTATAAATTATTGCTATTTTCAATTAAAGAGGAAATAATATGAACAAAATAAAGGATAATTCGTCGATTCTAAAAAAAAGAAAAATCACTGTTCCAGTGTTTCCACTGGCAATAATCAATAATCAATGTTCTTCTTCTTCAGTCCATTTATGATTCTTTTGGAATGGCCATGCATGTAGGCTCACCTACCAGAATATCCAATACCAGTTCTAGTACTATAAACTATGTTGTGTCATCTTTTGATCCTAACTCCATCGCCTGCAACGTCTTTAGCTCGGGTCTCTCTGATCATGAAGCAGTTTTAACTGAACTTTCGATAAAGTCCAAAATCAAAAATGCCCCTCGTAAATTATGCCGTATTTTTTCAGAAAAGAATGCTCAAAAGTTCAGCCACTTATGTAAAACAACCAACTGGGATACTAGCTCTTATGATGTCGACACCGAATTTTCTATTTTCGTAAAAACATTAACCAGTCTAGCGTTCGAATCCTTTCCTCTTAGGCCTATAAAAAATAAGCATAATAAACCTTGGACCACTAAAGGTCTACGCATATCTTCTAAAAACATGCGTTCATTATCTCACTTAAAAAAATTCGCAGACAGTCTCTTCTTCCATATTTACGTAAAACTATACAGAAAAATTTATCATAAGACTATAAGAGCCGCTAAGGACCTTTATTATAATAGGAGAATAGTCAATTCTGGTAATGTTGCTAAGGAAACATGGTCTATTATGAATGAGTTGAGAAACAAAGCTTCTTCGTCTAGCAATATCTCTACCTCGCCTGAGAACCTTAACGATTACTTTGTAAATGTAGCGAAAAACTTAACTAATACCATATGTCCTCCTCATGATCCACTTTCTTATCTCTCTAATGATAATGTAAACTTACACAGTTTCTTTTTTTCGCCCGTAGTTCTTGAAGAGCTTCGCAGTACAATTAATACCATCAAAAATAAATCCTCTTCTGGGACCGACGGGCTAACTTTAAAAATGTTTTCGAATCTGCCAGAAAGCACTCTGAATCACCTAACAACTTTAATAAACATGTCGTTCCAAAATGGTATTTTTCCAAAATGTCTTGTCGTATAAAAACTCGTTGCAGCCTTTTGTACTTGACAATACCACCATTGACGTCGTAAAATCCGTAAAATTCTTAGGGCTTGTTGTGGACAATTCTCTTAAATGGGACATACATATCGAAGCTTTGTCGAAAAAATTGAGCTCTGCCTGTTTTGCATTAAGGTCTGTTTCTAAGGAGCTTAACTTGTCAGTGGCTAGAACTGTTTATTATGCACTTTTTGAGTCGCACCTCAGGTATGCCCTTCCATTCTGGGGTACGTGTTGTGCGGCTCAATTTGACCGCATTTTCAAGCTCCAGAAGAGAGCTGTTCGATATTCACTGGGACTAAACAGCAGAATTCATTGCCGGAGCTTTTTTAGAGAATTAAAAATATTGACTCTTCCTTCCTTATTTATATTTGAATCCGTTTGCCTAATAAGTAAACATGTATCAGCTTCTCAAGAAAGGCCAGCTCACACTTATCCACTCAGGAACGCGGAGCAAGATCTTTATCTACCTACCCCACGCTGAGAGTTAGTTAAAAGTTCAATATTATACAACTCGAAAAAAATGCACAATCACCTGCCATTTGAAATCAAATCCATAACATCATTTTTTTCATTTCGCAAAGCATTGAACTCTTATTTACTATACAAGGCTTTCTACGCCGTAAATGAATTATATTTGAATTGAAAATCGAATTTGATCTTGAAACCACTGGTCTAATGTTTGCTATTGCTATATTTACTAATGACATCGAAATTAATTTATTTAGAGGTCATTGATATTTTGCTATAAACTGGCTAAATATTTTTGAATATTATTTTAATTTTTTTTGTTCTTTGACATTGTAAACATTTATATATGTTTATTTTAACAATAAGACTGACAAAATTATTTGTATAATGTTTTGTATTATCTTTTGTTTGTTTGTTTGTGTACCTTGTTTTTTTACTTTGTTTGTTAGTTTACCTTTGTCCACAAATTGAAAAATTTTTTGACAATAAAGGCATTTATTTATTTATTATTTATTTATAATACCACTAATACCAGTAGTAATATTGCAACTAATACTACTATGCTACGACTGATCCGCGACCAATGCCCATACCACTAAAGCCGCTACTAATGCCAAATTGTGCTATACTGCTAATCGCACTACAATGCGATCGCTTTGTACACAACAATGATCATCACTGATTTGCAAATTAGAGGAAACCAAGAATGTTTTTCTCATTTTATCAGCAAAGTCGCAAAAGGTCGCAGTATTTTATTTTATTGTATGAAAGCCCAATGTTTACTAAGTAAACGGTATATAGACAATATGCTGAATTCTTCGAAATGCGCAACTAAATCTCTAAGTATAATAAAAATGTCACAAATTTAATCAAATCTTCTGAACGCCTAACTTTTAGTTGCAAAAAAAATCGGTAGTATAGAGAATATCAAAATAAATAATACGTTTTTGTAGAATACATACCTACAGCTTGCTGAGCCATTTTCAATCAAAACAATAATATAAACGTAAAAGGAGCACAAGAACAACAACAATTTATAATTTTAAACATAAAATTTAGCCATTTACCTCTTATCTGTGAGAAGTAACAACTTTGACGTTTCGTTGAAACAAATGAATGCAACTAAACACACCCATAGCAACGCCATTCATGGCAGACAAGATTTAACTTATCATTTATCTTTTTTGGGGAAAGCTTAACCACATTTGCTTTTTCGAATTTCGATCACTTTTTTCATGCTAATACTCCACCGTGCGGCATTTACATGTATAGAAGTGAATCGCTATAGCAATCTAGTAAGTCGGAGAGAGCAAAAATACGAAGTATTTGTTACATAATCACTTAATCTGACGGTAGATTCCATGCGCTTGAAAAAATACTTGCCTTCTGTTTTTATTATGTTACTCTTAGTAGACTCTGACTCGGTTGGCTAGATTTTGCCACGCCCAACTTGTAGATTGTACTTTAGTTTATAATCATCTGCTGATGATGCTAACATGGTTAGCGAAACGCGCGTCCAGTGTAAAAGTAAAAGTATTTTGGTGTATTGTGGTGATTTAGTGTTTTATTTTGCTAATTCTCCAGACTTTTTAACGAAGAATTTGGCATAGATGCTCCCAAAAAGAAATCCGCAAAATACTCTGTCTCTAGCTAACCGTAACGGTATTTTTTTGCAAATCTTGACATTTATAAATCATCCTCATGCTTTCTACTGCTGGCTGGTGTGGGCCACGTATTTGCGCCATTGGTAAAAAGATCTATAAATCTTGGCCGGTTATGTGGAATGCTTCTAATTAAAGCGAACAATTTGTCATCCTTTTGTCTTTGAACGCGACCGTTTCATTGTCGGCGACGCGGTAAAAATGCCGCAAAAGTATTCTTTCATTAGAAGGTCGGACGGAAATATATTAATGAAGGAATATAAAATAAATGACTGCGTTTCTCCTTAGTGAAGCGCATTATTTTGTCGTAAATCATATCTTCCTTTTTTATATCTGTTTTAGAACTTTAACATTTTTTAAAATATCTACGAAAATATTTGTCTGAGAGGTAGGCAACCTAATAATATTTTGAAGATATTCGAATTCCCCATTGAACACTGGAATAATATACTGAGTGTTCCATTTAGAATAAAGAAGTAACTTGCTTTTGAAAGTGACCAATGTTCCATATTAATTTTGTCTCACCTCGTATAACTTTTCGGGTCAAATTTTAATTTGCTTTAACATACAATCGTTATTGTAATTAAATATCAGGTAAATTAAAATTTAGGTAGCTGTTATTGATGTTTAAAATGTATTCTTCATTTTCACAAAATGTGAAATATATCAAAATCCTTACAGTTTAGGCACAGGTTTCTTTAATAAAACTAACTTTTATTTTTTTTTCTAGAATCCGAAAATCAGTTTATATGGGTGGTCCATTACAAAAAACACAACTTTGATATGTACTTGTTTGGAGACACCCTGTATAACTCTATATATTTTATAAAATACTTTCATTAACCTACAATTATGCTCCCAAAATTTCATTTCGAAATAAACAACGGTTCTCCTTGGAGCCTTCGTCTCGTATAAGAGGCGCCACCCTGTATAAAAGACAGAGGGAATTATGGCATCTTAATTCCCGTTAATAATATCCCAAGGGAGTTATATGCCAGTCAATCTGGAGATTGAGGTGGAAAAAATTAGTAACCAACCGATCTCAACGGGAATGTGTAGATAATGATCTCCTATTTAACCCCCCAAAAGTCCCATTCGGTCTCAGTGGGGGTTGAAAAAAACAGCTGCCATCTTGGATATTTTCGTAACGTAAACGTAACATTTTTCGAAAAAACTAAAGCTATGTTTTTTGTAGAGAATTAATGTAGAATATTTTACCTTTAATCATTTTATTTCTAAAATAAATAGTAATAGAGATAGAGCAATTTTTTACTATACGGTTTATAAATTTTCCAGTTTCTTTAAACCAATCAGCTATAATATTACAATTTTTGCGTTACCGGTATAGTGTTAAAATAGATAAACCAAGTATAAATTTAAGCATTAAAACAATTAAAAATAACGTTTAAATATTATTTATTAAATAAAATTATT